GAATTTAGAATAAAAGAGGGTGCTGGTATTCAAATGTCACCTACCTTTTAAATCAATTCATGTTTTTCCTATGCCACCACCTCTTTTTGTCTGATGATTTTGGCTAGATCAACTTTTTCTAACCTGATGTTCTCCAGATATGGCTATACTAGATTAAAATGCCAACAGGAAGGCTAAGCTAGACCAATGGGGGCAGGGGGGGTGTGATTCATCTGCTTCTGTCTTCTGATTTGGAAATGAAACTGTTGGATTGAACTATAATACCAATCTTTGGTAATTTACTGTCAGAAGTCCCTTTCATTCCGGACAAGTCCAGTCAGTCCTTGATGCCCATTCTTTTCTTGAACAGCAAGTCTTAAACTCTCTTTAAGCACATTAATAGTTAGGAACTACTTGCTTTCTCTCTGCTGACCCTAGATTGCCAGGACCAGTACATCAGAACTGACTTTTGAGGTGAAGATGGACTTGGGTAGAGGGGAGATGGATGTCTTCCATGAATAGGATAACATATGTGCTTCTCTATAGGGAGATATACAGTAATCACTTAGCAATGTCCATCTCAGGAGTAGAAGATATTTTTGGCATCAATATGCCAAGTCCACAGCTTTAATTCTTAGTATTATTGGCCATGTGGAGAAAACTTGCTACCTGAAACCCTACTGAGACATGACCAATCAAGGTAGAATCAGTACTGGGCTTGATGAGACAATAGTCTGATGTAACATAAAGGAGCTTTCTAAGCGGAAGTTTTATTATGCAATCTGACACATCCCTATTCAAAAGTGTAGCAGGACTGATTTCCAGATAAATGGGAATAGGGTTGCATAAAGTCTGATTTTTCTTTAAACCAGGCTGTGATAGGAAAATAACAAAAATCATTTTTATTTTGCAAGATTATCCACAGAGAGAGAGAGAGAAATCCCTCGAAGAAAAATATCGTGAAATTTGTCTGATTAACCAATCCCACTTCTCTCTTTGAATTCAAAATTACTACACTGTACATTTCTCTCCAAAGATTAGTTGGACAATAAGGCTTTGGAGGGGGGTCAGTAATCTGGGCTGGCTTTAGAATTAAAAAAACAATTAGAAAATTAGAATTTAGGATTCAGTTCAAAAATAAAACTACAAATTCATTACAGAGAAGTTTTCAACTTTTAGATACGGCTATGGAAAATAAATACAATGGGATGTCCTATAACCAGTGGTGGGATTCAGCCAGTTCGCACCACTTCGGCAGAACCGGTAGCCAATTTTTTGTTGCCCAGGCCCACATATGGACTTCCGGAAGCGGCATCCACACAGAGAACCTATTGTTCACGTATTTGAATCCCACCACTCACTATAACCTTCCTTGAGACCTTAGCATTAGGTGGGAAACAAATCTTAAATACACAGATCTTGGTTTTACACATGTAAAGGAAAATTTCAAAATATATTACCAGTCTGATGTAACAGAAGGATCATATGGGCGAATACAAAAATCTGGTTCATGCAGCATGCTAAAGAAAATGTGGCTTGTTTGATTTTGGCTTAGTGCATTATATAAATTCAGCCCTTGCAGTTTTAAACTATGACCTATGGGTTCTTATGCTATGTGAACCCCAATCCTTGTGGTTAATTCAGCAAAACTATGATTAAACAAAACAGTGATGTGGGTATACTCAACCAGTATTGGGAATTTTGGTTGAATACTCATATCACTATATTTGTTTAATCATAATTTTTCTGAATAAACCACAAGGATTGGGATTCACATTTTTGCATGCTTTGATAATTTAAAATAATGGTTTATATGAACAAATCCTTTTGCTACTTGCCACAGGTCAATTTCATGCTTCAAAACATTTCCATCACAGGACATTCACCCTTAATGTCTACACTGGTTTTAAACAATGAGGCTCTTATGCATACATATTACAGATAAACTAAACCACATACCAGCTTTGCTAATGAACAACACATAAACAAATAAGCCAATTGCATCTCAGAAGAACGTCATCAGCACTTGGCTCTTTCAAACATTAGTCTGTAGATCTCATGCATTGAAAGCTAAAAAGCTGTTGAGCCAGCAAGACTCTCGCCCAGATTTCTCTTTTTTATCTCTCTTCCAAGTGGGAGAAGGACAGCCGGTGCCACTGGCTGAATTTGCCGTTCTTGCCTATTTGCAGTTTTGTGCTTCTGGAAGTATTGGGCTGTGGCTTCAGCTTCCAAGCCAGTGCCTCTTTGCATGATTTTGAGCACAGGGCGGAATGTTTGTGCTGTACCCATAGCTGTATGCCTGAGCTACCACCTGCCAGGATGTACCTGTATGAATGGGATGATGATTCAGAGGCGGTGAGTAATTGCATATGCCAATTTTGGTACCTTGCATTGCTTATGTTTGCCTTTGCCAAATTATTGTGGTGCATCTGAAAACATCGGAGCTCAGATTTTATCATTGTTTGCTTCCCCTCTTTTGTGTCAGGGGTCTAATCTGCATCTCTTTCCTTTCTGATATTTTTCTTTCAACCTTCTTTGTCCAGGAAAATTGTCCATTTTTTAAAAACAGATCAGAAAGTTCCTAAAAGAAACATAACTTGAAAACCCATTCTCAAATAAGATCAGGTTATTGAGTTGGGACAGATCTTGACAGGACCACTGGGGAAGTCAATCAGTAATACTTAATAAACATTTCCAACCCAGGAAGATTCTGATTTTGATTCTGATTCTGATTTGTTTTGATTTGTTTTGTTTTGTAATGGTAGGGGGTTGGTGATAGTTCCATCGTCTCCCAAATATCCTTTTCACAAAGGGAAGATTTCATATATCACAAGCTTAGTATTTTTAAGTGGATTTTTCTGGTTTCTATATTACCAGTCTTTATAGCATACTTATTACATAAAACATGGTTTTGTGTTTGTTTATTTCTTTGCCTAAATCTGCCCCAACTCTATCTTCTGTTGTACAACAGATGTTGGATACATCAGGCTGAGATGCTGCCTTAATATCCATATGGAATGTAAGCAAATTGCAGCTGTGTCCTTTGTGCATTTTTTGTGTATAGAAACTACTTCAGTACCATGAGTATCTCTGAGATTAAAAAAAACCACTACCATGTGAATGTTCAGTTTTGAAATTTAAGCAGAAATCAAGTTTCAGTGTGTGCACCTGGGAGGAGTCAAAATGAAGGGCGAGATATTTTTGCTCAGTTTTCCTAGTCTGAACTCTTCTGATCATTACCCCTGTGACTCGCTTTTTATGAATGCCACCATATGTGTCTACTTTGCAGGATATCAGCTTTCTGCTTCCAGATTTTTGGGTTTTTTGGCAAATTCAGCTGTCCAGTCTCCTTCTCCTTATAGGAAGTTTCTGCGTTCCTTTAGCTTGCAGAATGGCCTGCTTTTTTCAGTTGCACAATCAGCTAGAGAAGCTCTTTGGTCTCCATGTAGCTTCTGTTTTCTTGGCATTGCATTTGGTGAGAACCTCCCTTATGTTTGCAAATAGTGACAATAAAGGGCAAACTGTAGGAAACCTTGGGCTTAAATAATGGAAATATATCCTCTTGGAGTTGGAAACATTTTCCCAAAAGCAATCAGGTTCCCACAGGGCTACCTTAATTGGCGAACTAAAAAAATATCTATATACAATTGGGTTTAAATAAGCAACCCAATTCCTTCCATCTTACTACTTGATAAGCAACTGCCTGAAGAGTTGTCATTCATTTGAGAGGTTTTCTTCACCTTAGCTTTTGTAGAAACTCTGCCTTCTCAACTAAGCCTCCTGAGGGACTGCTAATTAACAGTGGCATTTCAGCCCTTCAGATTCTCTCCAGTCAAGTGACCGCTATTCAAGAATTGTCAGGAGCATTAATTATCTGTTCATCGGGAGGAAAACATTATTTCCTGCATAAAGACCTGAAAAGAGACAGGATAATTACTACCTGTGTGTTCAGAAAAAGACTTAGCATCACTTCTTTTAGACAGTTTGTTTGCCTGTGACCACCAACCTGTGAATATGGACATGCTTAAATGCATCACATCTGGGATATAGGTGGTCTCGACTTACAATAGTTCTTTTAGTGATTATGCAGAGTTACAGTGGTACTGTGTGGCTTATGACCGTTCTTCACACTTAACGACTGCTGCAGCATCCCCGTGCTGCATGTATCAATTCTGGGAGATTAATACTGTCAAAAGAAATTACTCAGAATAAACAATTATTAAAATTAAAACTAGCTCATCTCACTTTAAGAAGGTACTTAGTTGTTTTAAGAGAGGCAAATTTATTAGGCCCTTCAGAATAAATTGGTGTATAGCAGTTAAGTGATCTCTTCAAAAAATTTTTTAAATAAGAGATAGGTTAAACTGTCTCTAGAGCAAAACTGAATGTAAAACTAAGTACAAAGTTTCTTAGCTATTAACTTAATCATACTCAATCCAGGTCCCTTGTCTTCTTCAATGGTGACTTCCAAACATGTCTATTTTGACCTGGGAACCTCCCTCCAGATACAGCTGCTCAATTTCTGGATGAATTGGGGGTTACAGGTTATTTCCAGCACTCTAAAGAAGAGATCTTTCCCCCATTTCTCCTTTTTCAGAAGGAGAAATTGTATGGGAAAAAGGATGGGCAAGGGTATCCAGAAACTATACCTTTTTCGCATTTGGAACTATATCAACAGCAGTTTGCTATTGGCAGCAAATGATTGCCTGGGGCCCGGGGGCACGACTGCTTTGTGACAGAACTTCATGCTTTATTTTTCATACAGCACACTTAATCCTGTCAGCCAGGAGCTCAGTCAGAGCTCTTTATCAATGTTCTGGAAATACGCAATCACATTAATTGGGTTATAGGCCATTATTTGGGTATTATACAGTACACAGCCACCTCTTTCAGGCAACATATGGTATCCTTTTGTGCTAGACTGGTATTGAAAAGGGCCGTGTTATATTACTAGTGCCTTCCCATTGCCCAGGCAAGCATCAGGACTTTCATCTTTTTTTCACTTCCTCACTCCTTTTCAGGGTTCTGCTGAGTCCTATACCAGTCGCCCATCTGACTCTGATGTGTCCCTGGAGGAAGACCGTGAAGCCCTGCGCAAAGAAGCAGAGCGCCAAGCGTTGGCACAGCTGGAGAAAGCCAAGGTGGGTATCTTCTTCCTACAGAATTAGAGAGTTAGGATTCAGAAATCTTCCTGGATGAAGGTGATGGAGACTGTAATCCAAATCATCTGGAGGACTTCACCCTGAGGAAGCAGCTATATTGTTCATGGTTTTATTAAAAGCTCTTATCTCATTTCTCAAGAAACAAGGTAGTTCAGGTCACCAATATAAATGTGGCAATCACTTTGTGCATCAATAAATAAAATGGTGCTATATCTGTCACTGCATTAGAGATGATGACTTGATTGGAGTATTATGTTGAAGGGCATGTCAGATTTAAGTGGCTATATGCTGTAGCAGCTATTTTCCTCCACAAATTAAATCTTCATTTTTATCCCTTTTGTTCTGCTCCTCCAGAGCACATGCATTAACTTGAAAATATTTCAGATTAAATTCAGCTTTCAGATGCTTAGGGTATCTCCTCAGATTAGTTTACAGATGCCTCCAGAGAACTGGAATAATAGGCATCCATATTGCCCTATTGTAAACCAAATTAACTTATTATACTTTAAGTTATTTCATTCTCTTGATCTTTATGGTAGAAGAAAGCTAATATGCTTTGAAAAATTAGTTTCAGAGAACCTTCTGTGTTCATGCAACATATTTAACCAAGTCAGTTACAAATCTATCAACTACTAACATATTAAATATGATTAGTTTGTTGATTGGTTTGTTTTGCTTTTAGCATGTTTATAAACCCAGACTGTTTGGTTAATATATTGTGCAAATCCAAAAATTGGATTAATTCATGAACCACATTCTACATATTATTTGAAGATTGTTTAGATTTCCTTATTTAATTAAATTAGGCTGGTAGCTATGGCCTCTGAGCTATGAAACTTACTCCCCAAAGCCTTCCTTTTTGTGCACCAATTACACCCATTCAGGGATCCTGAGGCCCCATTTATAGTCATTCATATTTTGATTGTTCATGCTTCAACTGTTGCAACATATTCTATGTAGGACTCTACCCTTGAAGACCATTCGGAAGCTACAATTGTTCCAGAATGCAGCAGCACAAATAATTATGGATGTCACTATTTTGCAAGCCACACTGGATTTATGTAAGCTTCTAGGTATAATTCAAGATGCTGGTTATCATCTATTAAGCTCTTTATGGAACAAGGCAGATTATTTTCAAGACTACTGAATTCTAACTTTGACAGATTCTGATTATGTCTGTCCTTTTTACAAGATCCAGCAGAGTAGTCATGCTTCTAGTCCTCTTCATCAAACACTGCATCTAATGGGACCCAGTTTTTGTTGTGGTACTTGCCTTTTGGAACATCACATTTCCCTCCACAAGAATGAATGGATGGATAGATAGATAAAGCAAGACAAAAAGTATCTGAAAGATTTTTGGATGTCTTCTTTATTGTGAGAAAGCCTATATGATTGTTACAATTTTAATAGCTTGGTGCATTTTGGTTCTTTTTACTCACCTTTGGCTTACTGATTTTTCAAATGTTTTAATACAGCTGATCCATTATGACTTTAAACTGTTCCTCTGGTTCTTTTTTTTAAAATTTTATAATATTATTATCTTTTAAAGGGAAAAAAGATAACATCAGACTGTCAGGTTTTAAATACCAGAGTACCTTGGTTTTCTATTTACACTGAACAACACGCTCCTCAAACATATTAATCTCTGCACTACTATAGCAGTTCTCAAAAAATTGTTTGTTTTTCATTAACAGTTAACTCATATCTCTCCTATGGGATGATCAAATAACACTCCCCCCAAGGTGGGAAATATGAAACAGGCACTTGAGGTCATGCCATATGAGGACAGGCTGAAGGAACCTGGGAGGTTCAGTCTGGAGAGAAGAAGAGAGGGGAGACGTCAAGTACTAATACATGAAAGAGAGACATTGATTCCCACTCCTGCAGAAATTATGGCCAGAAATAATGAATACAAGTTGCAGTTACCTAGATTTTACTTAACTACAATGGGAAACTTCCTGGTGGTAATATCTATACATTTCCCATGTATGGGACTATATAAAGAAAAAAACATATGAAGTTTCTGTAAGGTAATTTTTTGGAATGGTCCCCTCTACAATTATGCAGTCTTCTCTCATTCCTTGCTGTCATGCAATTGGAACCATACCCTTTCCCCCTGGAATGCAGTGTGCAGATGACCTGAAAGAATAGCTACTTTCTGGACTCTGAGGTATGTGCAAATCACTACAAACTTCCACTTGGTTGGATGATCTTCCTTAGTTAGGCTTCAGAAAAGTTCCCAAACCAATTTATGCAGGCACAAAAATGCCTCATGGCTGGCTAAGCTCAATTCACTAGATTCAATTAAAATGAGTTGGAGGATTCATAGTTCAGTGCATGGATCCAGCCATTGTTTTAGGATATGATCCCACAATTGTTATCCCATTGCCCCATGTTAAAGTATAGTAATTCTTATAAAACCAATCCATTCATGTAACTACTCCAAAAAGGCTAAGTGGCTATATCACTTGCAAGTAAGCAAGATCCAACTATAAACTGATTTTTAGTAGGACATCAGGATCTGGGTTATCACTCAGGGCTTTTTCACTTTTTTTCAGAATTTTATTGATGCTTTATCTTATCATATAATAACCTGCACTAAATCATCCAAATGATTCTTCCAGATGAAAGATTCCATGTAACTCAATATTATATTATATATGATATATTATTACCTATATAAGCCCATTCTTTTCCAAAATATATGGTGTATATGAAATCTAACAAAAAGCTAGCTTTCTCATATACCTTGTGACTTATTGGGGGCACTTCTGGTGGGCACCATCTTGCTGCTGTGTAATAAGCAAGCTTTCACGTATTAAAATTCATGTTCCTAAAAGACTAATCTGGAGGGCTGCATCACAGAACTGCAGGAAGTGGTAGATGGGCCAAATGTTGTAGGTTCAACATTTTTTCTCTTGATTGCCTCCCCTCTGTTTTGTAGAATGGGGAAAGCACTCCTTATTTTTATCATAGTTAATCTCTTCCTTTCTCACATGCTTTGTCAGTCCATTTTGTTTTGTCTGTTTTGCAAACAGCATTTGAAAACAGGCTAAGAATATATTACAATCGGTAACAAAATGAAGATACCACCTACGTTGTGTATCTAATTGATTAAAAGATCATGAAGATTATATTTTCTGTGATATTATTTGGATGTCTTGCCTTCAGTTGTATTGCTTTTTACCTCCCTTGTTTATCCCAGCCTTACATTTCTACAGATTGTTTATTATCTTATCTAAATGGTTATTTTTTTTTGCATACTATTATGCTATTGAAGCAGTGTAATGTGGTAATAAAGATGTTGGATTGAGATGTGGGAGAGCCAAGTTCAGTTTTTACTCACCAAAGATGTTACTAAGTGATTTTGAACCAATCATTCTCTCTCAGCCCAACTTTTCAGGGCTATGAAGATAAAATGAAGGGATATGCCACTTTGAATTTCCAAAAAGATCTGTTCAGTTACAGATTTTCATAGTAATCTCAAGTTTAGATGTGATACCTGGGTCTTCTACCTCCACTTCAAAGAGATTGGCCCAAATCTAGGCAGACTCCACATTCCTTGCAACGGGCTTCATCCCATCTGCCATTACAAATTCCTAGCTGGCCAGTCATCTGCAAATTAATTTGGCTAATCAATTGGCTTTATCAATCCAGGAGGTGGATGAATAGCTTTAGTAATATTTCTTATTAATTGAACTGGCTAAAGCAAAGCTACAAAAAACATGAACCTTTGCTGCAGATTGGCACAGTCCCAAGTCTTGTCTCAGCACCTGTTCACCACAGGTATTTCACAGTTGCTATTTTCCAAGCACCAACCATGAATAGCAGATCCTGCTCACAATAACTACAGAAAGTAGCCTGAGAAGGATTAAAAAAAAATTGTTGATCTATCAGCAGCATCCCTTAAAACAGGGATTGGAAGTCTGTACAGTACTTACTTATGTTTGAAAAAAATAAAAACTCAGACAATAAGAGCTGCTATTTCTCTATACCATTTGTTATTGTACTGATGTTTTTAAAACAAACAAACAGTAAAATAATATTAAGAAAGAAAGAAGCAACCAGATTAGTTGGATCAAAGGAAAATATGGTTTACAACAGTGTTTTTCAAGTTGGCAACTTTTAAGATGTGTAGACTTCAACTCCCAGAAGCCAACATGCTTCTGGAAGTCCATGTATCTTAAAGTTGCCAAGTTTGAAAAAGACTAATCTAAAAAAATAGGTTCTCAGATTTGTTCTTGGGTTTGAGATGGTGACTGATAACTCGCATGGGCAACAGCCTGAAATTTTCTTGATATGATATTGAAGCAGTGCCTCTATTTTTTTGGGAGGAGGGAGGTGGAGGGAGCATCTGGCCAACTTTGCCTGGACTCAGAAACTAGACAAGGTTGGGACCTGCTCCATACGAGAATGGGAGATCTCCAAGGAATATAAAGCCTATAAAGTACCCTTAGAATTCAAACAAACATCTTGGAGGTAGGTGAGGTTCCAGACAGTTGCCAAGAAACCTGCATAGAGTTGGCCAGGAAGTCAACCAGAGTCCAGTTAACTTAAAGAGTTGTGGTTTTATCATTTGGAGGAGATTTAGGACATCACTTGAAGGGATTAAAGATTCAGATTTTCAATTTGTTGTTTCTAGAAATTTGTTGCTTTAATGGAATTTATCTTGATTAAGTTTGAATGATTCATTTTTAAAAATTTGTTTTTGGGTAAAGTGCAGAATAGAATTATGAAAATGATTTACCTGTTTAAAGTGTATAGGCATAGGCATCCGTATGCACTCTTAATGGATTCTTGCTCATTAAGATTGAAATATGAGATTTTGTTATTTGCCAATAGATAAAAGATGAAATGTGGGATGAGGAGCGTTTTGGTTGAAATATTAGAGAAGTATTAAGATATTGAAAATGTTTATACTTGTCTTAATGAAGGGGGAAGTCATTTCTTCCTATTTTTTTCTTTCTTTTTTCTGTTTTATACCGGTATGTATTTTCCCCTTTCTTCTTTCTTACCTATATATCTGATGGCAGTCTTTCCAGCAGTTCATGACAATAAGTATCCTTTTGTAAACTATCAGATTTCTAAAAAGAAGGCTCCCTTTGGCTGCAGCCTCATGATTTTGACAGATGCAATTAGCTAATGAAATCTCCCAGTCTCCTCTGTTTCAGCTTTTGGCGGATCCTGTTGCTGCCTTCTTGCAATTAGGATGTCTAGAAGCATTTAGGCAACTGGGACCTGGTCCAGCTTTCTTGCTGCCAGGATGATCTAGGAGAAAGAACTGAGTAGGAGTGGTTGGCACCCAGAACATTCCTAGCTTTCTGCTTGGGCTTCAAGCCAAAAGTTTCATCCTTTGCTTTTCTCAGCAGGTTTTGTAGCTGTTTGTTGACTACAGTTTCAGATTAACCCTGGGGCCACATAGGCAGTGGTGGGATTCAGCCGGTTCACACCACTTCGGCAGAATCGGTAGCTAATTTTTTTGTTGCCCAGGCTCAGAATGGACTTCCGGAAGCGGCATCCACACAGAGAACTGGCTGTTCACATACTGTATTTGAATCCCACCACTGCCCATAGGGGTCTGAAAAGTCTTGGCATCAGGTGTGCTTTGCACTAAGAATGATGGTATACTTTCTTACCTATTTCTTTTGCTACTTGGCCTCTGGGATGAGGAGAACTCAAGTGTTGTTTTTCATTTTTATGTAGCATCAAACTAATTAACAACATGAAAAAAGCAGATACAAAACAATTACATTTTAAAATATGGAACAATATTTATATACCCATCCACTTCTCATGATTCAAAAGGACTAGCAATGTTGATAAAATAACACTTTACCAAAATTCACCAAATAACAAAACAAAAAACTGAGGAAAATGTCTGGAAATGTATCTCATAATCAAAACAACTGCAAGAAAATTGGAAAGGTTCCTAAAACTTCAGTCCCATGGGCATTGTACACACCAATGTAGCTTATTCTACTAGTTAGCTATTATGACACAGTCAGCCAAATGTTTAGACTGGATTTGGCATTTTTATTCATCTATCAAGTCCTTCCTGAGGACCTGGAACAGGCAGACATTTTTCATGGTGTTAGCGGTATCGTTGTGAGATGTAAGCTGTTGCAAGTAAAGCTGGCTTTTGCAATTGACTGATGGTGATTTTGTCAATGCCAATGGTGTTCAAGTGGTGCTCCAGATATTTTGAGATCAAGGAGCTTATTACTATTGGTACTATTTTTGCTTTCTTTTGTCACAGACATTCTATTTCTGTTTACAGATCTTTGTGATTTTCTCCAGTTCTTTCTCTTTTACAAGTAGTCCTTGGTTTAAGATCATATTTGGGCCTGGAATTTCCATTGTTAAGTTGGTGCAGTCATAGGTTGAGTCATCAGATCACCAAACTCAATTTTACAACCATTTTTATAGTGGTCACAAAGTAAATAACCATGATTATTAAACAAATCATATGGTCGTTGGGCAAATCCAGTTTTCCCATTTTTTGCCAGAAATTGGCTATGAAGGTTGCAAATTGGATGCTGCAACTAGTCATACATGTGAATTAATTGCCAAGCTCCTGAATTATAATCATGTTTTGGTGGGGATGGTGAGATGGTTATAATTGTGAGGACGGGTAGTAAATCACTTTTTCTGAGGGTGTTGAACTATAAACCATGATTCTGTTGTAAGTTGAGAACTTCCTGTATTTTGCTATTTCCAGACTTTTTTGTTTTTCTTTTGGACAATTGTTAAGTCTGTTTGTTATGTGGCAGGTCCTTGTCTGTTTGTATTCTAATGTTCCAGAGCATTTTAGCTTCCTTATTTTTTATTATTTTGTCTGTTTTATGATTACACCTGTAGGCAAATAGCCTTTCTTGAAGACATTCTGATGCACCATTGTTGCTATTTTGTCATGCAGTTGTTTCTACTCAGTCTATGCAATCCTCTTGCAGCAGCTATTATAACTAGATGTTATAACTATATATAAATATATAAATAGAACTAGATGTTATAACAACTATAAAGCTGGTTTTTTCAGCTCCTTTGCAGAGGTAGCATTTGCTGAATGTTGCTGTTTTTTCAACCTGACTTTGTACACATTTGTTCTTAGGGCTTAGTCTTGTACAGCCAGAATTAACCCTTCTATTTCTTCAATAATTATTATAAACATGCTGTGATGATTCCTTTAACACCATCAAACTTTAATATCTGCCTATCTCAGTTTCTTGGGAAGGACTTGATAGGTGAACAAAAATGTCAAATCCAATCTGAACATCTGGCTTACTGTGCGATGAACCAAAATAATAACAATAGTGTATATTTTACTGACTTTAGTAATTTAGGCTATTTTTGCATGTCATGAGGAAGGGCAGCACAATAGATAACTTTAATCAGACATGGGGCACTTTTCCTTAAAGATAATTTGCGGGAGAGATATATGTATGTAGTGAATATGGCTGAAGCAAACTGGGGGTGATATCAGAAATGAATGGGAAAAAGACATTCTTTCTTCTGTCTTTTCTCTGTGGCAAACTGAGAAAATGACAAGTATTTCTTACCACAAATTAGAGCTTATCACCTGTAGTAAGCTTATATTGAGAAGATGAAGGCTGGGGAATTCTGGAAGCTGAGGTCCACACATCTTAAAGTTGCCAAGATTAAAGAACAGTGACATAGATGCTAGATTGAGAGATGTGCAAAGTTAGTTTAAGGATTACATTTCTATGCTAAGATTACCGAGGTGGTGTTTTTTGGTGTCAAGAAATCTATTTCAGTCATTCAGTCCTCTGAGCTCTGGGATGTCAATCTATTCTAGATGATCAATGGCAAAACCTATCTTTGCTTTTAGAAGTAACTCATTCATACCAGCATCTTCCTCTTATATGGATATATAAATGATTTTGTGTATTTGTTTTTAAACTGAGAAGTTGCATAATTTATTTTCCATGTTAGACAGTAGCTTCTGGATCTATAGGCTGTGCTCATCTCATCTCCGCTTTTCCATCGAAGTGTTTTTGTTTGTTGTTTTGTAGACCAAGCCAGTAGCATTTGCTGTGAGGACAAATGTGGGCTATAATCCTTCTCCCAATGATGATGTGCCAGTCCAAGGCATGTCTATTTGCTTTGAACCCAAAGACTTCCTTCATATCAAAGAGGTAAGATGTCCAGATGAGGTAGCAGAAACAATCCGATGAGGAAATGTAAAGGCTCACCCCAATCCCAATGGTTATAAAATGTATGGAGCAGTGTACAATGGAACTTTTACTACTGGTCCTATCTAGAGTAGTAATAATCTGGATGGGGCATGACTCCCGCCCTTAAATCAGAAAACAGAAAAAGATAGTAAAATGAAGCAGAGGCATCAGTCTCTCATACAGCATGCAAAGAGAAGGAATAATTTGTACATGGGACTAAAGAAAACTATGAGGGGTTTGATTTAGGTGCCAAATTAAACATGACCAATGTCTCTTTCTTGCCCCCTCCCTCCCTTTTCATTATTTGAAATTATTTTTCATCTGGGCTTACATAAAATTGTTCCCACAGTAGGAAACGCTGCTTCAGCCCCATTAGATCACATTTTATAGTTGTCAGTATAATTAATAGTATTAATGCATCTTTTATGTTCTTAAAACGTATGGTACTTGATCAGTACAGAAAAAGAGTTCTGTAAACATGTGCAACGTATATCTAAACACACATACATACATTATATCCTTGTTGGAGACATTTGATTTTTAGCTAAGGGGAGACCCAGAATGATTAGTGGGATTTATGATATGAAAATTTGAAAACCATAGTATTTATCAATGGGTAACAAGGAGCAACCCAGAATGGCTCTCCTCTCTCTTTTCCACCTCATTCATTTTATGCGTCTTATATATTTGTTTCTGTTTTCTCTGCTACAGAAATATAACAATGATTGGTGGATTGGACGTCTGGTTAAAGAAGGTTGTGAAGTGGGCTTCATCCCAAGCCCGGTCAAACTGGAGAATATGAGGATGCAACAGGAAATAAAGATGAGACAACATCGGCTTAGCTCAAGGTGAGATAGGATGAGATTGGATGGAGGAGAAGGAGGAACTACCTTGCAACTCAGTGCTCCAATAGTTGATTTTAAAAGTTTTGTTTTTAGAAAAGCTAAATCCTTGGTGTTGTATCTGATCAAGAGAAACCTTTTGTCTTTCACTGTTTTTTAATTATATCCATAACCATCTGTTACTCCTGACTTATGTTAGCTGAAGCTGAAAATACTGTTAATAGAATCCAAGAATATCTGAAAGGCTGCAAGTCCCCTATCCCTGAACTAAAGGCCCAGGGAAATTCTACACCTGATAACTTTAGAAATGTTTTCAACCTCAATAATTTAGCAATTCAGTGTGCTGCCCCACTCCTCTCCTCATAAATGCACATACAGCAAGAATCTACAGTCAACCTCCTCCCAACAGGTCCTCAGAAAGCAGCCCCATTGCACAGGTCTGGATTCTGAGCTCAGCATGGCAAGAGTCACTGGGTTACTGAATCCCATAGGCACACAAGAGCAGGAAAGTAGTCCACGAGTCAAACAGATCAGAATACACAGCATGAGCACACAAGGCACAGAACTGGGCATGTTGCTCCAGCAATGGAGGGCAGGATTAAGTAGGCAACACCAGTGCAGCCCTTCATGAGAGACAAGGTTGCATCTACACGAGTAGTCTAGATCAGTGTTTCTCAACCTTGACAATTTTAAGGCATGTGGACTTCAACTCCCAGAATTCCACAGCCAGCAATGCTGGCTGTGGAATTCTGGGAGTTGAAGTCCACATGCCTTAAAATTGTCAAGGTTGAGAAACACTGGTCTAGATGACCAGCATTGTGCCTGTCTCCTCTCTGCTCTATGCGTCATTGGATTGGGAGGAGGTGTGAACTCCATTCCTCCTCATTGCTAATGGGTAGCAACTGCTCCCAGTCCTACCTGGAGTCCTGGCCAACTTGCTGCAGCTGTGGCTCACCTGGCACAGCCTCAGCCTGTCATTCGTCCAATCGACCTAGCTGAGGCAGCTTTGTCAGGCTAGCGCTCTTCGAGCCCTGATCCTGACCAACACTCGGCTCTGTGCTTTCCTCTGCCAACTCAAACTTCCCCTCCTCCTCTGAACCTGCGTCCAGAGAGAGCTGGGGGGGGGGGGAATCCATGACAGAATTCTAAAATGGAATAATTTTTTGAAGGTATTAGGGTGTATTTCCAGCTGTTCTATTACCTGCTTCTAATCATATGGGAAAGCACAAGACTGGAAGGGCACTTGGCCTGACTTTACAGGAGTGGTTTTTATAATTATAACTGCAGATTATATATACACACATGTGAGTTCAGACTTCAGGTTAAAAAATAGCAATGAGATAAGGCTGAGACAATCTTAGTTAATTTATCTTACTGTTTGCCCTTGCAGGTGAGTATAAGCTTCTTGAACTTTTAGATTTTCCATCTGTAAACAAGACTAATTTCAAATTGCCTGACAAAGGTTTTGGAGAACAAAGTACAAGAGATGCCACAGGGGGGAAATCAGACACATATCATGTATCAGTTTTTTTCAAACTTGACAATTTTAAGATGTCTGGGCTTCAACTCCCAGAATTCCTCAGGCAACAGGGGAGTTCATCCACACATCTTATAGGATCCAATCTTGGTCGGGCACCAGGACCAGAGGTTTAGTCTTCCGAGCTTTCAGACTTGTGTTGGAACCCATCCTCAGGGAACCTTCTCTCTCACCAGAATGTGTGTGACACCTTCTGTGTGACAGACATTCCCTGAGGATGGGTTCCAGCATCAGTCCAAAAGCTTGGAAGACTAAATCTCTGTTCCCAGTGACCAACTCAGATTGGATCCTGCAACATTATTCTTGGATGTGTATATTTGCCTTCACACATCTTAAAGTTGTTAGGTTTGTAAAACTGCAATATAGAGAGATTGGGTTGAAGATTGGTTGGACAGATGTATAGAAATAGTTAAGTGTGAAAAGTGCCCTTACAGTAGTTATATTTGAAGAATTTAGTTATTTTATTCTTCCTGGAAATTCAGGATACTGTAAATATTTTTAATGAAGTAATTTATTTAGTAAATTTCTATAGTACCCATCTCACCAAGTGACTCTGGGCAAGTTATAGATGCACTCAAATCATAGCACAAAACCTATTATTCCAACAACATCAATCCTATCCTATAAATATAAAATTATTCATATGATGTCATTTGTGTCAATTTATATCATGTGGATAATTGCATAATTGAACAAATGATGTAAATATTTTTGAACAATCAATGTTAACAAAACTGAAATGAAGGATACAGTGGGAAGGAAGACTAGTTGAGGAAAAGAAAGAGGCTGCACTACTTTTGCTTTGGCTATTAGGGAGTCCTATTTAGCATCTGCTACAAGGTGGACAACCAAACGTTCTCCATCAATGAGACAGCTTGGTTTTTCCTAAAAACAGCCTTGCATGACCTAGTGGAAGGGTGATCCAGGATGTTAGAAATACTGATCTGACATATTTTGAGGGCAGTGATTGAGGAAAACTGGTTTAAACAAAAACAAATTTCTTTAAATTTTGAAATCTACATTGACTCATACAATTTTAAGAAAAAATAGTTTGTACAACCTTAGAACAGAGTTAAAAATATAGAACTTGTAACTTCTCTGAGTAGAAACTGCAAAACTACAAAATAAGGATTTTTGTAAAAAAAATTTTTTTTCAACAATGGCATTTTTAGGAAGGAATCCGAAGAGGCAAGAGAGCAATCAGCACAGTGCGATCAAATCCATTCCTTTTTATAAGCATGCAAGATCAATATATGTACAAAAGGACAAAATTGTGCTGGTCTAACTGCCTTCTTGTCCCTTTTTTAAAATCTCTTCTCTTCTGGGCATCACTGATGACCAATATCTCATCGGAGGGTTAAATCTCATTGAATATAGTGTTCTTATGAGATGTCCTCATTTTCAAATGAAATTAAACAAGATCTTGCAGCTGAGTCTGCTCATGTGTGGGGCCATCTTTGAAAAACTTTAGTTACCCATGTCATTATGCAAAACTGTACAGTACCACCTGGTGCTTGCAAATGTTGTCAATCACTGCTTTAGAGTACAAGGTGGGTATCAGTTTCATCTTTCTTGCTACCATCAAGTGTTTCAGGAAATAAAATTGTCATGCACCTCATTAATCTTTAGCCTTATTAACCTTTATTGTACATTGTGGATTTTATAATCCCTTGGACATTCATTCGTCCATTCTTTGGCTGCCCATCATATGTGCTGTAATTCTGAATGGCTCACAACCAAAGTAAAAACATTAAAAATATCCAGCAAACATAACACATCTTGAGAGAGACTGCAGAATCCTTCACACGATCTAACACTTCTCTTAAATACATGCAAAAGATAATCTCTCCTTACAATGTGTATAAAAGCAGTTTACATTAGTTTCAAATTTATTTAATTCTCATGATTCCTAATTTTTTAATTACTGGATCCTTTTTCATACAAGTCCTTTTTCTAATGAAGAATTTTTAGCAAACTGCAAACTTTAATTATTAGGAGAGCAACTTTCTTAGAAGCTGAATATGGTTACCAAATGTTGTATATCTATATTAAAAATATGCCTTAAATTTCACAAAATATTATCACTTATTAGATTTAGAGCAGGGCTTTTCAACCTTTTCACCCACTGTACCACTTTTAGGATATGGCAATATCCGAGTACCACCAGTCGCCTAGCAAGGTGTCAAAAACCTGATGACCCCCCCCAAAAAAGGAAAAAAGTGGTGAAGTACAGGTAGTCCTCAACTTACAACAGTTCACTTAGTGACTGTTCGAAGTTACAATGGCACTGAAAAAAGTTCCCCCCAAGCCACAGCCGAGCAAGACACCTGCCTGCCCACCCGGCGGCGCTCTTCCTCCTGTCCGAGGTTTTCATTGTTGTGAGCATTTCTGTTTAGGATTGGCAGCGGGGGTGGGGTGGGGGGTGTTTGGTTTTTATTTCCCCCGTCTGCTGGGTGGTTGCAGCAGGTTTTGGTCACTTCAGATGACCCAGGGACACTGTGACCATCATAAATATGAATCAGTTGCCAAGCATCTGAATGTAAATCACAAGACCCTGGAGATGCTGCAACATTCCAGCTGATCGGCGCTTCTTCTGCGCTCAGCAGAAGCACCAGGATCAGTGCCGAGCTCCAGCTGGAGCCTGGCGCTGATCCTGGCGCTTCTGCTGAGCCCTGACAGCCCTGCAGCTCCAGCCATCTCTCACTCAGGCTTGTGCGGTGCTGCCACTGGTTCAACTCATTCTCCTCCCCTGCTACCACTTTTCTAGGATAGTTGCGTACCACCTGCTAATGTACCACAGGTGGTACCCATACCACTGGTTGAAAAGCCCTGGTTTAGAGAGCCGCCTGATTCCAAAATATACTGAAAAGACAGGAACTAGATGAAATTGTGTTGCAAGTAATAGTTATCCAAGGGAAACCTATCAGGTGGTATAAATAAGTAATTAAATAATGTTATCCTGCAGCAATGTTTGTCCAAGAATCAGAAAATTTAACTGAATGAAGAAGTTAATTTTCTATTGAGTAAAGTTGCCAAGCTTGGATTTTATGGTGATTCTCCTGTGCTACAGCTGATTTTTCCACAATCTCTTCACATTTTATTTTAATGGTTTGTTTTTATTTTTGCAGTAAATCAGGAGACAATTCCACTTCCAGCCTGGGAGATGTGGTGACAGGTCCCCGGAGACCCACCCCACCTGCTAGTGGTAAGGCATCTCCTTCTCAGAGACAATGGCTTTCACTGTTTTTCTACTTTTACCCTAGGTGAAAAGTCCTGTATCTCTCCTTACTGAGAACGAGAAAAGTCTGAAGCATCAGGAAGACCTGACTCTTTATGGGTGATGTTAGGCATTCAGCAAAATGAGATTCCATGGGAATTCTATATTCGAATATCCCCTACATTTATCTCTCACTTTCTGCCCAAAAGCCTTATGCTAGTCAATAACATGCATATGTATATTAGCCCAGACTACTTTCTAGGATGCTAGGTGTTCTGGTTTTATTTTTCTCTTAACAATAAAAAATTTCATTTGCAACTAACAAAAAAATTCATTTGCCCTTGCCTTGTCTGAAATAGTATAGGTCGCCCTGCCTCTTCAGGACTCCCTCCCTATAAGTCATTGCTTATGAATAGAACCTCTCTGTGCTTAAGCCACTGCCATGAGACAATACATTATGGAAACTGGAATTTCTACCTCATTTTTTCTTGCATTCTTGCATTCTCTAAATTATTTTATTTTACTTTATTTTTTCTTTCCTTTTAATTTATTTTACCTCCTGCTATTTCCATTTCATACTGTCTCGGTTTGGTTATTGTTCTTTGGTTCCTTCTTTTTTTTCTTTCTCCCCCCCCCCCACCTCTCATACCTTTTCACCTCATCCTTGTCCCAGGTACCTTGGAACTGACTAACTTAGCTTATGACCCAGATGCCCTTGATTTAGAGGAGGAGGAAGAGGCAGGAGCCGACGAGAGCCAGCGCACCCCTAAAACTAGCGTTAGCAGTGTCACCACACCTCCCTCTACCACCAAGCGCATCCCCTTCTTTAAGAAGGTAATGGTGCCCCTATTTACTTGCACCTGCTTGCTATGTCCTGATAAGATGCCTGCCTGTGTGTATAGGCTGTTTTTGTCAAGGTCAGGCCATTGTGTGGCTAGGATAGAGGTGATCAAAAAGCATGTCGGGGAGCTTATCTTGTCATTGATCGTCCATTGGCAATACTGAATCTAGAGCATAAGTTATAGGAATGAATATGGTGATGGCCTTCAAACAGTAAGTGGCATATTAAATGCACAATCTCTTGGACAGCAAAAAAACAGAGGTGCTGTTCATAACATTTGTAACATGTGAATATAGTATATAACAATGGTATATTCGAGTGATCACACCTATTTTTCATCTGTATGAGCTAAAAGATGTATTGGCAGCTAGTTCATACTCATGTGTGGACCATATTGCAAAATGGATCCAACAGATTATGTGTCCTTTCTCCTGTTCCTCCCTGCCTCACATATCATGACAATAAAATAATTGAAGGGTAAGAAAGAAATTTTTCAGTCATCCAATTATTTTCTCAGTTCACCCTCCCTCCTGTATAAATCCTTGAAAATTGAAAATTCAAACCGTTTTCTCATTGTGCAAATGACATCCCCATTCACTCTTTCCTAAGATGATGGGCCTTCCCTGTGCTGATTATAGGAATAGAACATATTCTCCATTTGCTCACGTAAGGAAAATTCCATCAGCAGAATGTTCTGATAGCAAATGGGTGAAATAATTCTGCAGTTCCCTATAACATAGACATGGGATTAAAGCATCCTGTTGGTCGCAATCATTCCATAATAAGCATGAATACAGAATTTCTAATAGCTTTTCCTCTCCAGATAAAGAGAACATCTCCAGATAAAGAGAACATCCAGCATTACAAATGTTCTCTTTATCTGGAGAGGAAAAGCTATTGGAACATTCCATATTCATGAATATTCTGTTCTATATGTTCTGTTCGATAGATTGAAAATTTTGTACAGTTCTACACAAATATTCTCTTCTTTTCATACCTCTGAATATGAAATGTGGCTATTCAGAGCCTTCCTTAGAAAGTGGGAAGAAAATAACCTGGAGCCTAATTGTTAAACCAATTCAAGATAAAGGTTGGGAAGTATTGCAAGACTACATTACATGTCATATTAGTTTGCTATGAAGAAGAGGAAAGGGAGTGCTTAATTCTGTCTCTACTAGATGCCTTTCTCCAGAAATATCTTCCAAAACTTTTCAAATGGAAGTGTAAATAGTTTGAGAAAGCACCTCCTTCTCTCTTGCAAGATTGAATTGGATGTACTACAAAGCTTATCCTGCACCTTTGCCCCTATATCAGCCATTTGATAATCCTATCCTATCCCATTGTTAGAATTGAGGTTTAACTCCTAGTTTGGCTGGGTTCTGGAACTGGAGGGAGAGGGATAAAATTTGTTCTTTGCCTTAAGAAGCAAAAGAACTCCTCCATTGCCCTGTAGTATTATGGGGCTGCCACGAGTAAGAAGAATAAGGAGAAGAGAGATCAAACTGGATGCTTGATGGAAGGTTGTTCTCCACAATACTAGTAGGTGTGAGGATTAATTTATTGATACTGAAAAACAGCCTGCTTTCCTTGGCCCGAGTTTTTTTCTCCCTTCCCTTCTTGTGCCGACCTATGCTTCTGCAAGTGTGAGCTGTCAGTAACACGCATGCCCTGTTTGTTTTTCTCTTGCCTGTCCCTTCTTCCATTCCCATATCCCCATCCCCACCCCACCATTAATGGCGATCACTGGACATAGCCAAGCAGAAGCAAAAATCGGTAAGTAAGCTTATGAAATATCACATCAAGTGAAGGTTTCCCAGAAATTTAATTACTGAGATTCTGGGCTCAGTTGTTGTCATTAGTCAAGGACCACTTATAATACACAATATCAAGCTGTCCAAAGGCCTCCTGTTATGTCCGCCACCTGTTCTGTGAACAGGAGCTGCCCGTCCATGAGGTTCACAAATTGCACACTGTTTTCTGTTCTGCTTCCATCCAGGACAAGCAATGGAAAGTCCTCAGGACCTGGTGGCCATTGAACCCAGAGCTACTCAATCTTGCCAGGGTTGAGTTGAAGCCCATTTTTCCTCATCCAGATTCCAATAGCCTCCAGATACCAAGAACCTCCATAGCATTATTTGGTTGGCCAGGGATGGAGATATAAAGCATACTGGTGATATCTTATGCCATCAGATTACTTCATTCAGCAGCTTCATGTAAATATTAAACCAAATGGAGAGAGTGCCAAGCCCTAGGGATCCCCACAAAGTAGAGATTGAGATTATGAGAATCTGGAAGCACAGGTTAAGTGACCAGGAGCAAACCTAATGTTTTATTCTTTCTTATTTGTCCTCAGACAGAGCATGTGCCACCATATGATGTGGTTCCCTCTATGAGACCGATCATCCTTGTGGGCCCATCTTTGAAAGGATATGAGGTGAGGCATAGAGCATGTGGGTGGAAAGTTGGATTAACAGTGATGTGGGGAAAATAATATGGAGGAGTTAGGTTACTTTACTGGGAAGCTGGAAACATTTCCAAAGGGCCATCAGATGTTTATACATGTTTTTTCACCTGTCAATTCATCATTCAAATTTGAGATACATCTCCTAAAACCATTGAATAGTATGTAGCTTTTACAAACTTTGGTGCAGTCCCAGAGCAGCTCCAAAAGTTTAATTTTAATGTTTAATTTATAACAGAACTGGAAAATTATTAGATACAGTCTTTAAATGAAGTGAAATCAAATTTTTGCTTACTTTTTACTTGTGGTTTTATGTGGAACATCAAATGTTGAATACAATCTCAACTCCTAAGGAAGTCACTCCAATCCAACTCCTTTCTATGCATTTGAGTGAGAGCTGATGCTTCATCTTAGTGCAGCTTATCTCAACTTTGCTCCAATTTTGACCCATGAGTCTATAAATCAAAAGGTCTCCAACATTTTGGGCAACAGGGACTAGTTCCGTGGAGAGAGGTTTTTCTGCAGACCGGAGAGTGCATGGTTTTGTGTGCTGCCTGCATCTCATGGATGGGGGTTTGCTTGTTTGTGCGGACTGGTTATTTGCATGCCGCGGACCAGTACTGGGCCACGGACTGGGGGTTGGGGACCCCTGCTATAAATCATTTTTTCCATCCTTCACACTGGCTCTCTACACTATTTTACAGTAAAAATGATTGGGAAATGGAACACTATTAAACCTTGAAATCTCCATCTGAGATAGGGAAATGAAAGATCTTTCAAAGGTGTCATTCAGATGTTTAGAATAGTTTGTGGATGTGCCTATCAATTGTTTGCCCAGACATGGTCATTTCTTTTCTAATATAGTTGACTTTCCAGGTCTTTACATTATCAGTCTAAATCCACTTTCAGTGTTTTATACTCTCCTTTTTCCATAAAAATGCTAAGGAGAATTATCATAACAATTTAAAAAAGCTGAAAACTAAACTGTAATACTTTTATGTAGATTAACAATTCTCTCTTCCTCTTTCTTGAGCAGAATCATTCAAAATAAAGTCAAACTATTACAAAGGCATGTTGGTTTTGATTTTATACTAATATTTTGCATGAGGTCAACTACAGTGTTTATTAAACAATCTGTCTATCTGTCTATCTGTCTATCTGTCTGTCTGTCTGTCTATCTATCTATCTATCTATCTATCTATCTATCTATCTATCTATCTATCTATCTATCTATCTATCTATCTATCTATCTATCTATCTATCTATCTATCTATCTATCTATCTGTCCTTATATATCATCCATCACATTTATGAACTCCAACTCAAAATAACTCTGGACAGCATTATGGCTCAGCTTTATATGAATGCAGCTGTATTGGACCCAATATGGTTATGCAAATCATGCTTTGCTATATAAACCTAGTTAACAGAACAACAGAGTTAGAAGGGACCTTGGAAGTCTTCTAGTCCATCCCCCCTGCTCAGGCAGGAAGCCCTATACCATTTCAGACAAATTATTGTCCAATCTCTTCTTAAAAACGTCCAGTGTTGGAGCACCCACAATTCTGGAGACAAGTCGTTCCACTGATTATTGTTCTAACTGTCAGGAAATTTCTCCTTAGTTCTAGTTTTAGCTATTAAATCCAAAAGAGTATCTATTCATGCAGAGAACAAAGACTGTATCAGCTGGCAATTAAACTGCAACATATCCAAGAGTTTTACACCCGAAGTCTACTGGATAATTTTTTTTATCAAATGCTGGCATAAACCTTTGCAAATATACAAACTTTTGGATTTTAACTTTAACTTAATTTTAACTTTTAACTGTATACCTCTTCTCCCCTTCCCTTTTATCTTCTCAGGTGACAGACATGATGCAGAAAGCCTTATTTGATTTCTTGAAACGCCGATTTGATGGCAGGTGTGAGCAGGAGCCTTGAGGGAAAAAGAGAGGTCTTGGGGAAACCTGGAAATCTTATGGCCACATCTATATGATTTCAGGAAAAAAATCCAAGTAGAGGTCATAAGATATGGGAGGGTTGGTGCAGAGTTTCAGCCTTCCAGAATTTTAGAGGTTTTCCTGCATTTTACTGACTATAAAACATTTTCCCCTCTTTCTTCCAGGAGATGAAGGTTTCTTTTTGAAATAAAAACTGAAAGAAGTTAGATTTTTTTTGGTGTGGTTTGTTAAAAACTTCTTTCCTTATTCATGAAGAGAAACAAGTTTCAGTTTGGTTTAAGTGGGCTGAGATTATTAAACTTCTATTGGCAGATATTTAGAATCCTTTTTCTGGTTGTAACACCAGAAAAAATGTCCTAGTGATCTGGTGGGAATACCTGGCGAATGAAGTTGGCTTCCTCAGCTATTCATCCCTCTATGTCTTTCACAGAATATCCATCACACGTGTGACAGCTGATATCTCTCTTGCTAAGCGCTCAGTTCTCAACAATCCTAGCAAACACACCATCATTGAGCGCTCCAGTACCCGTTCCAGTCTGGGTAAGGCTAAGTTGAGGTCCTGCAAGAAAACTTCAAATCTTTGTTTTCTTCTAAATTTTTTCTCAGGAAGAAGGCAGGTCACATTACACTAACATTTTGCATGGTGACTATTTAAGCTTTGTCTAACTTTGATCTGTATCAGTTGAGAACATCTTTTCCTGGATGCTATTTGATTTTTATTTTTATTTTATTTTATTTTTGTAGTGTTGTCTTTTTTCCCCTCTCCCTGACAGAACCCCTTTGACACAATCCTTGAGCAGGGCATTGGGATGGTCTCTACAACAACGTGAATTTATCTGTATCCAGGAATGGAAGTGGGGGAACCCTAAAACATGCAGAGCATGGACAATGGTATCAGAAGTATTATAGGATGCATTTTAAATCACACACACTTCTGTGCATGAGGAAGAATGTTCCTTCTCAACCAACAATTGAAAAAGGAGAAAGCAGTTGGGTTTGTCAGCAGCCTTCTCTATGTTTAATTCTTCCCCATGTTTTGACTTCCTCAATCTTGTAGGCATCTTTTGCTGCTTCCCAATGACTTCGACTCACTCTTCTCTTTTTCCCCCCTTCCCACAATTTTCCTTCCCTTGTGTCTGCGCATCCTCTTCCTTTCTGTGCTCCTGATACAGATGTCTTGGGTATGTAACCTTTAACTTCACAAGCTCTCCAGTGTTCCTTCCAAGTGCCAATTTAACATGCTTAAGTTCAGCATGGAAAATATGTTTAAGAGAATGGGGCAGGGGGTGTTCAAAACCAGAACAATAAATATTGTTCTTGCCAAAATGTTTAAAACATTTTTTTTTGGATTTTTAATTGTGTTTGGGAAGTGAAAAATGCAGAGTCATATCAGTCTCATTTTTCACTTCCATTCATTTCCTAGGATCTTAATGAGCCAAACCAAATCCAGAAAAGAATGTTTTTGGTTTTCAGTTCATAAGGACAGCAACAATGCTTAATGTTTTGATTGCAGCCCTATGCATATTTACTTGGGAGAAGACCATTTAAATTCAGTGGGACATATATTTAAATAGACTTAATGCTCTGACACTGTTAGAGAAATCACTTGGTTGTAAAAGGTTACAGATTCTATATTTAGATTTATTTATTTATCTATTTATTTATTTTTTGGACATTTCCTGTATCTGCCATTTCCAATTTTGGTACTCTGCTGGTTTGTAGACTTTGACTCTCAGAATTCTCAGTAATGGTTATGCTGCCTATATAATTCTGGGAGTTCTACACAATTGGGCTTTGGTTGTATTGAGGAAGACTACCATACTGAGGTCATAGCATTTTTGCACATTAAATTGAAAACTTATATAAAAAAAATAAACCCAAATAGAAATATTTAAAACAAAGAGATAACTTTGGATTACAGGTAGCATTTCCACATGGTGTATTGCCCATATTACTGTCCTGATGTGGCACAAACTCCACTGAAAATTATCCTAGAAGTGATGAGGGAGGACTAGATACTTCCTATTAATGCCCTGGGGGATATCTTGCTGTATCAGGCCCCGTGAATCAGAACTTAGCTTTCTTATTTATACTTCAAACTTGCTTCTTGTAGCTGGCGGTTAGTTTACTTTTCTTCATTTGAGGATGGCTTTAAGCCAAACTGTCATTGGATCAGACTGACTGTTGATCATTCAGAAATGAAAAGAATTAATGTTTGTCCTATAAAATAGGCAGATTTAATAAGTGTATTCTTTTTCAAATGCATCTTCTTCCACAATCTCACAATGATGGGTGCTATAGCTGAGGTGCCTAAATATATCAGTGAAAATAGTGAGTTGTGGGATAATAATTGATTACATTTCATGCATTGAACAAAGGCTACAGAAGGGAACAGTAAAGACATCCCCAAATCTGTTGTTTTTCTTTTCTGTTGATGTTATTTCTCAGAATTCCATAACTGGAATGTCCAGTTCTTCAGAAGAAAACCAGGTTGAGAAAAATTGTTCTAGGACTATCACAGGGCAGTGTGGATCTTGCTGCCATTCCCCCCCCCCAATGGCAGTGCTGACCTTGTCTTCTCCTTTTTTTGCTACTTGCTCTTTGCCCCGGCAGCTGAAGTCCAGAGTGAGATAGAACGCATCTTTGAATTGGCTCGAACATTACAATTGGTTGCCTTGGATGCAGACACCATTAATCATCCAGCTCAACTCTCCAAGACTTCATTAGCACCTATTATTGTCTACATCAAGATATCTTCCCCAAAGGTGAACAAATTCCCTTTTTCTTCCACCTGATTCTACTAACAAACTACCTTCCACCTGGTTAGGGAAAGGTGGGTGGCCATAGAAGGACTTGGTGCTAAAATAAATTAGAAAATTCTTATGGTACCTTAGTGGGGCATGTGCAGGTGAGAACAGTGTATAGGAATGTTTACCTCAGAAAGAGTACATAAGAAATATATACATATTATTAACACAAATTGTTAATATCTTTCAGAAACTGGCTAGTGTTAAATTATAGAGGAGAATGCTTAAGTTACATAGAAGCCAGAAATTGTTGAGCTGAACTAGTGGTGCACTTACCTTGTACTATTTTCATTGGCTACCACTGTTCTCCACAATTTCAGGAAGGAATTTTTCTCAACCCTTTTAATGTCAGGAATTGAATTTGTGAACTTTTTGCATGAAAATCCTGTGCTGTCTCTAATGAATTGCAGCACGTCTTTTGTTGATTTGTTCCTGCAGAAGTTCTGTTCTTAAAGGGGAAAATGTTAAACAGCCTAGAAAATATAATATTCCTGAGATGATCAGAAATGTATGAGACATTTTATAACTTAATTTTCTTCCTTTTGTTATTTTATTATTTATGTCTTTAACTTGTTGTTTCCTTTATATCATTAAAATTACTGGTTACCACAAAAACGTATTTTAACAAATCCAGTAAAATTGCATAACCTGCCTACTTTGGCCTGTGGCCATATGGCTGATCATTTTTGGAAATACCTGCATGCATGATTCTGGTAGCGCTACGGTTGCTTCTTTAATGAGTTTATTTATTTAAGAAATATATACATTAATATTTTACTACTAATTTCCATTTCCCTGGAACTTAATGAATGCCTCTATGGTCTAAATTTGAAATAAGAAACCACTAATAGCAGAAGAAATGTAAAAAGTGGTTAATTTGCCAATGTTGTTCTCCTTAACTGCTTATAGTTGTAATCTGACTTTTGTGATGAGAGGATAGTAACCATAATATAAGTGAGGCTTGGGTGAAATCTTGATCATGGAAAGAGAATGAATAAGTATGCTATGGAAGAGATAGAACAGACATGTCAAACACAAGACCCGGGGGCCAGATGCGGCCCGCAACGTGGTTTCATGTGGCCCACGAAGCCATCCTGGAAACAGTGAGGGAATGGCCCCTGCTGCCCTGGTCCCGGCCCAGGCTGCCCGGGAGCCAATGTACAATTTTGTGGTGGCCATCTATGCTGAAATGCATTCAGTCTTAGCTCCACAAGGAGAGCAAGCACAGCAGCAACAGCCTTGAGGAGGAGGTAAGTGTAGCTGGACACCCCCTTGGGGTAGTAGGGCTGGGCTTGGTGCCGCAGGTGCTTGAGAGCCGGGCTGGGCATTTGACCTCTGCTGCCCAGGGCTCTGGGAAGCCCGCAGCACCATCCAGTCCACCGCATGGCCTGAGAGGAACAGTGAGGCTCTTCCAGTGGACCATGCCTTGGTGCTTGCCCCGGTCCCACCCCCTTCTGCCAGAGACCCTCAGATCTGTCCCACTCCTGCCCAGGCCCCCACAGGCACCCTTGACACAAACGATGTAGAGCCCACCCAGTAGGCCACACCCACTCCGACCACGCCCACCCAGTAGGCCGCGCCCACCCTGGCCACACCTACCCGCCCCCTCCAGGACAACTGCAATGCTGATGCGGCCCTCAATGAAATTGAGTTTGACACCCCTGAGATAGAAGAAACAGCAGGTCCTATCCTGGTCCCTGAATGCAGCAAAGACCAAAAGGTTTTCCAGTTTTCATCCCAGGCTAGTTGTGTTTCATGTTTTCTCTTTTCAAAAACTTAATATTATTTTGAGCATAGCTTGCTTAAAATTGAGTGTGGTCATGCATAAGTAGAATTATGCTCTGTTAAATGTAAAGACATCACATAATTCATACAAATTCATCAGTAGCTTCTTGTTTCTCTTTTGAAACAACTGCACATACGGAAATAATTTATCACAAATTAGACAACTGGCCCAGCTAGTTCATAAACTCTTCAGGCTCAAAGGAGTTATTTAAGATGTCAAGCAGAGACACAATCATTTTGTCACAAGTTGCTAGGATATGAAGACAGGATGCAGAAGGCAAAACATTGCTCTATTATCACTGCAATCTATCCACTCTAGATCGCTAGTTTATCTCCACAATACGAAATGTATTCTTCTTCCTGTGACTATTTTCTCTGATGAATAAAGGCTCTGTGTTCAGGGGAATACCTCTTCCCTGTATATAAATGTTCATACATTTGCAGGGGTTCCTTCAGGAGAAAAATGAGAGCAAGAGTTCTTTGGAAGTATCCTCCTCTCTTTTAATAATTGGTTTGTCTCCATTATTTTGGGCCCTGACATATTCTTTCTCCAACAGGTGCTGCAAAGGTTGGTGAAATCTAGAGGTAAATCCCAGGCCAAGCACTTGAATGTTCAAATGGTGGCATCAGACAAGTTGGCACAATGTCCCCCAGTAAGTTCTCACACTGGGTGCCAGCATCCTAATGGTCAGGACTCTTCAAATACAGTATTCTCTCCCTTCCTTCCATGTTTCCAATCCCAGTTATACCAAGCAAATGGAGCATTTGGCCCTCTTCTCATCACCACCAGTTTGCTCTGCCCTTTTCTTTGTGGTACCAAACTTCACATTTCAGCCTCTGTTGTGATATTCCATTGTTTAGCTAAGTTCTTGGTCTGTATCTTTGCCCATACTTACAAAGTAAGCCAAGTAGGTAGTTATTGTGATTCTTCTGTGCTCAGTATCATGTCTAGCATAGTCTTTTCTAGTAGTGATTTCCAGAGATGATGGATTACAATTCCTAATACACCTGGCCAGCATGCTCAGACAGAGGAAGTGCTGACCAAAAGCTTTTTACCACTAGTAAAAAAATAGCAATATATATTTCTCCCTTTCTCTCTTACAATGGCCATTGCACTTGCAACAGAATAGTTTTTCAATACAGTAATGGGATAGTATCTTTTATCGTATCTGAAGGATTCAAGTAAGCTTAGGTGGTAGAGAAAGATTATGTTGCTCATGTAGCTCTTCTCTTCAACTCTTTGTTGTCATCTCCCAAGGTTTACCCTCTGGAAATTGGAGAAGATTGTGTTTTTAAAAACCTACTACTGCAGCCCTCTGGCTTCTATTCATACGATCTATCTAGCTTCCTCTTTTGCTTACTGCTGTTCCTGATATTTCAACCCATTTTTATACCCCCCCCCCCATTTCTCTATTACTCCCATTGAACCAATTACTCTTCATCCTATTTTTCTGCAGGAAATGTTTGACATCATTCTGGATGAAAACCAGTTGGAAGATGCTTGTGAACACCTGGCTGAGTACCTGGAAGCCTACTGGAAGGCCACGCATCCTCCTAGCAGCAATCCACCCAATCCACTGCTAACCCGCACCATGGCAACTGCTGCCCTGGCTGCGAGCCCTGCCCCGGTCTCCAACCTCCAGGTACAAGTGCTGACCTCTCTCAAGCGCAACCTGGGGTTCTGGGGTGGAAGGGGCAGCCTGGACGAGGGGCTGAGTGGAGCTATCCGGGTTGAGGAACATGAATTATAGCTTTCTGGAAAAACTGGGATGTTGCTCCAGAAAGAAGAAATAAGGGAGATCCTCAGACAAGGCTCCTGCTTGCCTTCAAAGGACTCTTGGTACTGCTGTTCAGTGAAGGTGATTGCTCTCTGTTTCTTCTTCCGCTCTCTGCTTTACACTTCTTGGATGAATCCCTCTGCTAAGGACCCCTACTCCTTTTCAAAATTTACACTAATTTTATTGAAAGGATGCCTTGTCAGGTTTCCTGTGTGTCTCCATCTTCCCCTGCCTTTGTCTTAACAAGCAATACTTCCTAGGAAACTGAACTAAGAATGTTGAGTCTGGAGTTTAAGGAAAATATTGCAATTTATTTTAATCATGGTAAAATGGTGTCACAGAAGCCGTAAAAGCATTCATTTTCCTTCACTTTCTTGCCAGGTCATGCAGGAATTGACCAAGCTTTCTGCAAATATATGTACATGAACGCAAAAGCTGGGTTACTATGCCACAAATGTGCCCATGGTTGCCATTGTTTTTTTCTGGATGAATTTGCACTACCGTTCACCTCCTCTGCCATGCTATGTTTCTATTGTATTCCTAAACAGAGTATAAGGATGTAGAAAAGGGCTGTAGTCGAAAGGTAATTATTCCCCAATTTGGTACTCCTCAGATCTATTGATTTCAACTCAACTGCGTGAATTTTCAGTGTGCTGAAAATTCTCTGTGTTGAGCTTCAGCACATCTAGAATACACCAGGTTGGGGAAGCTCCAGTGGAGTGAGTTATCTAAAAAAAATCCACTACTACTGCCTCTCCAAATAATATACTATCTAAAAACCTAATCATTGTTGAAACTTATCAAAACAATGTCCCATTCTAGTGTCCTAGCAATTAGTAGACAAGTCAACACCAAACTATCAGAAACAGCACCCAATTTTGTCAGAATCAGCACCTTCCATATCACATTATTCAATGTCTTAACTTTTTACTTCAACTAAGACCCTCATCTTTGAAAGTTAATTTCCATTGCAATCCTAAACTAATTCAAAGATTAATAGGCAAATCTAGTAAACTAATTTCTGGCATGAGGCTCATCTAATATGTTTCTTTCTTCAGCTGAAAATATGAATTTGCACCATAATTATAATAGTTTGTTTTTTCAGGAGTGAAGGTAATCTGTTCCGATCATTCAGAAACTTGAGTTTTCCTTGTTTCAAATGGATGTTTGAGTATATGATGAAAAAGTCACATGCTTTTTATTTTAGAAAAGTGCAGGCTCTGAAGTGGTAAACATATCTATGAAGCTACTACTTAAGTTGATCCTTTTCCCAATTGGCCCTCCTTGCTTTTTTATGGGTCTGCATGATGAGACTCAATAGAATAGTGATCTATTAATTTCCTATATAAACGGCATTGTGTCAGAACTTGACCAAAATCCAGGTACAGTTAATCCTCGACTTACAACAATTCATTTAGTGATTGTTTGAAGTTATAACAGCACTGAAAAAAGTGACCCATGACCATTGCAACATCCCCGTGGTCATGTGATCAAAATTCAGACAGTTGGCAACTGACTCACATTTATGATGGTCGCAGTGTCCCAGGGTAATTTTTTATGACATTCTGACAAGCAAAGTCAATGGGGAAGCTAGATTCACTTAACATCTGTGTTATTAACTGAAGAACTGCAGTGAGTCATTTAATAATTGTGGCAAGAAAGATCTTAAAATGGGGCAAAACTCACTTAACAACTGTCTCACTTAACAGAAATTTTGGGTTCAATTGTGGTTGTAAGTGGAGGACTACCTGTAGTCCCACAGAGCAGTATGCAGTCAGTTTGATCTTGAGCTATGTAAGCTGAAATCTTGCAGGTTATCAGACTGGGTGGTAAGTCTTTCTAATGTTACAGAAACAATGGAAAAGTCTCATTTTTCTCCTAAATAACTACATGTGTGCATGTACGTATCTGTATGTATGTGTGCATGTATGTATGTATTATGTCACAGGGAATGAAATATAGCCAAATTTGGAAGAAGGAGCGGTGGTGAGCAAAATCCAATTGGAGGAACAGAAAATTCTCATTCCTGTTCTGGTTCACATTGATTCTGCATAACTTGTCCAAAACTACATCTAAACAGCAATTTCTGACAACATGCCAGAACTAATATTTTTCTCTGATGCTATTTCTCTTTTTCCTGGTGATGCCATTCAGGGCAGAATTTGGGGGCAAATAGATCCTAGTTTGGAGAGCCAAAATATAGCATGGCATGGTTTGTTTTCTGTTGAAGTAAGTAAAATAATATACATTATTGCCTAAAAGTACACTTTATGCCATTAAGTCTGGACTTTATAATTAACCAGAAACATTACTGTTCCAAACCTCTCTCCCCACACCCCTAATTTCTCAGTCCCTCAATTATCTATCTTCTTTATTTCTTTGCAAATTTCTTTGACGTTAAGATGCATGGGGATTTTCTTGTTCATCTGCTTGGGGAGAAAGAAGAGGAAATGCTGCCCAGAAAAATGGTCTGTCTTGGCCTGGGGAGAGGAAGGCTGATTGCTTTCTTAAATCTAGGGTGATTCACAAGACTAGAGTTCAAGAATGTCTCATTCTAACCAGTTTGAGGATATTACTGCTGCTGTGTGATGGCTGCACTAACATTGTTTTATCTTTTTCTTCTGTTTGTTTGCATGGTGTGCGATATCTGCTTCTTTCAATCAGGGACCCTATTTGGTGCATGGGGAGGAGCCTCATGACCCCGAGCATCCTGGCCTCCACAGCTACACAGGGCAGCCAGTGGGGCATGGCCAGATCCGTTCAATGGTGCCTCCTTCTCACTTGGCTGCCCGTGGCCTTTCCCGACAAGACACCTTTGATTCAGAGATGCTGGGCAGTCGTGATTCTGCTTACACAGATCCAGCGGATTCCTGCATGGACATTGAAACTGACCCGTATGAGGAGCTGGATCCTCCTTGCCTGAGTCACCGCCAGGGCGCCTGGCAGGCTGAAGAACCTGAGTCTCATCACTTCCAGGGCCACGGTCATCGTCCCCTCCAGTGCCAAGGCTCCCCAGACGCTGAGGAGCCTGACCGACAAAACCATAACCGGTCTCTGCGTGGGCGGAGCAAAGGGCGGGAACACTACTGCCAGGAAGAGGAGGAGGTGGAAGCTCTAGGTCATAACCATAACAATGTGGAGGACTGGGGGCGTGATGTTTATATCCGTTAAGGCCTCAAGGGCAGGTTTTTATTTGTCTAGAAAGAAGCTTGTTCCCACTCAGACCTTTGGGGGATGACAGCTGAGAGCCACTGAGGGCAGAGGCTGTCCCTAAAAGATTGGCCTTCAGCCCCACAGGTAGAGCTTGATGGCTGTAGTATTTGCACCCCCAAAGCCACATCATCATTGACCAGCCTGTAACTCAATGCCCCTCCTTGTCTGGGGACTCCCTCCATTCCCGTTTTGCCATTTGTGCCAACAACTTCTTTAACATCCTCACCCTGCCAGCAGCACTGCCTGGGCTTTCCCACAAGATCATGAAGAATCACATTGACCTTAAATTTTTCTTTACACTTCAGGGCTGGAAGGGTGGAGACAGAGTCCCTGAGGACAGGGAGAGGGAGAGAATTGGTCTCCGCCGGTGCCTCAAATTATCCAAATGCTTGGGGGATGGCAGGGGTGGACAGTGACCATACACTGGCTCTTCTAAAGTCCTTCTTGCCTGTCCCCAGCCAGAGCCAAACCGCTTCTGGAGGAAGATGGCCGCCTTTCCTCTTTCAATTTAAACTGTCATAGATCTCTTCCTTTGCTATCTTATGGTGCTGCATCCAGCCCGCCACTGTGGAAGAAAGGGAGAAAAGATAACTCTCAATTTTTCTTCCAGGATTTGTTCATTGCCAGACCTTTTCCAGTGCCTAAAAAAGAATTACAACACAAATCACCTTAAATCAGCCTTCTCCATTCTGACAACCTCCAGTCCTGTTGCATGATAACTGCATAATTCCCAGCCAGCACATCTGGAAGTTATCATGTTGGAGAAGGCTGCCTTAAATGCTTCAGCCCTCCAGTGCCTCTGCTCAGGGTCCTTCTGTTCGTATTTTGCATGCTGAATAGATTCTGATCATACAGAATGCATGCATGTACGTGTGGTATGTGCCATGTGCCTGGCAGAGAGAAAGTCTTTGACATCCCTGTAAATTGCTCTCTGGATCTCACTACTGACTTTGGAAAACTCTTTCCAACATGTGTGATAGCCTGGCCTGAGGCATTAGGCAGATAAAAGGCAGAGCAGCACTCACACACCCCTTAGCCCACAAGGAGGCAATGCTAGCTAGTCTCCTTTGCCTTTGCTGCAGGAGGTGCCTTCTCTTGTGGAAAGCTTGTGTGTTGACCCATCCTGCTATTGCTTCTTTCTTCCTGAGAATTTATTTTCCTTGGTAAACTTGGGAACCTAGCTTGTCTTCTTCTTCTGATAATGTGCCAGATAGGTTACAGGTAAAGCAACCAGGACAGAAAACACAAATAAGAGGAATTGGGATAGATCAAGTTGGAGTCCTAATTCTGCTACTATTGATTACTCGTGTGCAGGTCTAAAAACTTGCTGGATCTAGGGGAGGTCTAGGGGAGGACCAGGGATGATCATCAACGCAGAACATGTTAACTATGTCCATAGTTGCTGCTTGCGCCTACCATTATCAGTTATGCTGCGATAGACTCTCTCTTACCCAGACCAATGTTTTAAGAATGTAATTTTTGGGTCCAAATCTACTTCCTGCCTCTAGTCCCCAGGATCTTCCTTTAAAAGGATTTTAACAGGTAAGAATTGTGACTTCATGGACACATCCATGTGGTTTACTTGACAACAATATGGGGGTAATTTATTATTGTTGCCCTGTAAGTAGTTTTAATCAACTTTGCTTAACTTTTCTTGAAATCAGCTACATTCTGTACTTACTTACACTTGAAAGGATTAATCTTTACTAAGATTCATTACTGCGGCATGGAGCTGTAACAAGCAACCCTTGTTATTTCTAAATAACACTGAGACCTCAGGAGTTTCCCTTCCCTCCTCTATAGATATGTCGGGCTTCTATGTGAGCTTAAGGGGAAAAAAGGTGCCATGGCTTTTAAGAGTCATGCTAACTTTGAATGAATAGATTCATTAAGACTTGGATGAATGCCTGAAAAAAAGGAAGGCTAATGTATAGTGGAGAAGTGCTGTGCTTACTCTCCCGTGAGTACTGAAGCACTTGTACATCATTTCTGAAGACTACCCCACCCTTGTTTATAAATTATATGCCCTAGCCTAAGCTCTGTTAGAATAGTGTTGTAAAAATATTCAAGAAAGGAAGATAATGGAAACTTGATTGTATTAGGAGGGAGAAATAGTAAAAAAAAAAATGTACTGACATCAGATCCTTGGATTTGGGCAACCTTTTTCAATGTGGTGCCAAAGACTAAGGATTGAGGGAGTCCTAGCTCAACATAGCTGAAAGTTTCCAAGTCAAGAAGGACTGGCATCTTTCTTTGATAAAGCTGGTAAAATTTTGGCATATTCAACTAGCAGGAAAAGGGGAGGACATTGTGGCATATAAATCCAGCCTACCTATTACTCTACCAAGAAAGTATAAGGAATTGAAATGAAACTCTGCTGCAAGGCATAGGAATAACTGTTAACCACAAGTACAGGTTGGTGAAATGAGACACAATTTTTGGGATTTATGACATCTTGCAATGATTGGGGGTGATAGGTCCTGATAGTGGCAGAATGATTGACTTGATATCTTTTGGGTCCTTTCTGCTGTAGGGAAAACGAAAGAAAAGAAAACAGATAATCTCCCCAGAGCTTTGCTATTGGTTTGATCCACTTATGTAATTCTTTCCCACCTGCTCTTGAAACGGAAGTTCTCTTTGGTTTATTGGCATCTTTGATTCCTTATGTTAAGCTGCTGCCTCTTATTCCAGAGCTTCGCACACCCACAACACTTTAGTGAATAATCTTTCTATTAGACACCACTGCTGCATAGATTGCTTTAATTTTTCTGCTCTGTGAATTCAGCTTCAGCAGTCCTGGACTTTTTGTGTCCAATTGATTAAATTATGATAAACATAGGAATAGGCTATTTTGAGTTCTGTAAATGCAAATTAGCTTAGGGTTTTCCCTTTCTATGCCTACAAAGTTCTCAAAATGAAAGATAATAGAAGATCTATTACTCTACCTATATGCAAATTTGTTCTGTGATGAATTTAATTTTTTTCTGCTGCTTCAGTGGAGATAAAAAGTTGCAGATTCATAAACTCTCTACCAACAAATTGTTAACTGTTTAGCTGAGTTTGTTTCTTTGCAATAGACAAAAAGATTACAAATGGGATTTGAACAAGAAGAATATATCAAATTATAAGATTATTTGAAGAGAGAGTATTTTATATTATTTATTGTAGTGTTTCTTGAGATAAAATTACTTGGCCAAATTTCTAATGAATGATTTCACCAAAAGACTTGCAAACAGTAGTTTCTGAGGAGAAAAAGGGGTGGTGATGGAAATATTTTTAAGAATATGTTGTTGAATTTTCAAGTAATTAAGATTGATCATCTTCATCCCCTACCTATTTGTACTTCTTCGTTTTATTCTCCTCTTTGGGTTGTTTTGTTGCTTAATTTGAGTGGGGAGCAAAAGAGAAAGATTATTATCAATAGAATATAAATTTTATTAAGTTTTTGTCTCATCATTATACAGCTGGTTCGTCAATGCTTCAATAATCCAAACCCATCATCATCATGGGAATAAAATTATTTTCTAAAATGCTATCTCTCTGAAATGTTTATTGTGTTCAGTGAAGAACAATGAAAAATACCATATCTCCAAATCATACATATTAAAGGGAGGAATACTGACATGCTGCTTGCATGCGATTGCATAACAAGTAACCCTTGCCAAAACCTTGCATCTAAAAATGTGGAAACATAGATTTAACTAGAAATTCAAAGCTTCTATAACCCAGGTGGATCCATTTGCAATAAGAATCTGTCCTCTGAATGCCGGTCTTCAGGAATCTCATGAACCAGGTGGATATGCACATTCCAAACAAAACACAAGAGGCAAAGGAGTGCTATGAAAAGAGCCTCTTCCAGGGAGCTACTTTAACCTGCTTTCTTCTACTAAAACAAAAGTAGGCCAACATACAGTAATCTACTCTGTCTTGATAGCTGATTTCTGTTATCCTTCAGTAAAGGGGTCAGAAGGTAATATCTTTACTGTGTTAGTTCAGGAGGCTGCAGTCCAGGGATCCCACTTCCACTTGCTAACTGGGAAAACATCCACCTAATGCCTTTCTTAATGTGGTAGAGTGAGGTTGGGAGATGGGAGCCTGCGAATCCAGGACCTGGCACCTTTCCTTCCACAGAAGCTGTCAGAGTTACACTGATAGTTTAACAAGCATATTGAAAACACTATAAATGTCTTGCAGCACTGTCACTTCGGCTAATTTTGGGCTCATATCTAGCGGGACAGTGTTAGACACATTTCTCAAAACAAAAAGGTTAATAAGTAAGTTGGCACAGTACGGGTGTGGGGCACAAGAAAATTGCCCAAAATAAAAAGGCAGATAGATAAGTTGGCACAGTACAAAAAATTCCAGCTGAGCTCCATCCTGCTTCATCCACTATACAGAAGCCCTCCCCCTTTTTTTGACATATTGCCCCATAGATTAGCAGAAGAATCACTATGATCAGTGTCCATTGCTGCACTAGAATGATGGTGGGTTTTATTGTCCCTCTTCATGTTGATTTTGCCGCTGCTGTTCCATTCCTGTTTTTGATTTTTTTTTTAAAAAAAGAGCACTTTTGATTTTCTCCAAGAACAATGGACATATATTTTGGAAGTGGTCCAAAAGTTGAGAATATGTTTTATAGGAAGGTTATAAAATCCATCTTGGGCTTCAGCGTTCTGCTGGCAGGAATTGTGCAAGCCGCTACCTGTGGAAACGGGATAGCATGCCAGTTGAACAACACAAACCAAAATGTTCAGGATGGACAACCAGGAGGTGATCTATATAAGTGCTGATCGCATCTGAACTCAACCATGTTTTTTCAGCATGATTTTTGAATAAGCTAGAATTGGGTTCGTATAACATTATATGCAATACACTACAATCTACATGTTATTATAGTTGGGTTCAATAAACCAAAACTAAATAAACCACAATGGAACCACATCTACATGGAGGGAAGTGTATAGTGGGGTGCCCCAGGGCTCTGTCCTGGACCCAGTGCTCTTCAACATCTTCATCAACGATTTGGATGACGGGATAGATATGGAACTCATCAAATTTGCAGATGACACCAAGCTGGCAGGAATAGCCAACACTCCAGAAGACAGGCTTAAGATACAGGAGGATCTGGACAGACTTGAACACTGGGCACTATCTAACAAAATGAAATTCAGTGGTGAAAAAAGTAAGGTTCTACATTTAGGCAAGAAAAACCAAATGTATAGGGGGTATCTTGCTCAATAGATGTAACTGTGAGAGGGACCTCAGAGTCCTAGTGGATAATCAGCTGCCAAAAAGGCCAACACAGTGCTAGGCTGCATTAACAGAGGGATAGAATCAAGATCACGTGAAGTGTTAATACCACTTTACAATGCCTTGGTAAGGCCATACTTGGAATACTGCATCCAGTTTTGGTCACCATGATGTAAAAAAGATGTTGAGACTCTAGAAAGAGTACAGAGTAGAGCAACAAAGATGATTAGGG